ACCTCACCCGGCTAGTTTTTTGTATTTTTTAGTAGAGACGGGGTTTCACTGTGTTAGCCAGGATGGTCTCGATCTCCTGACCTCGTGATCCGCCTGTCTCGGCCTCCCAAAGTGCTGGGATTACAGGCTTGAGCCACCGCGCCCGGCCTGTAAATTTTTTAATGCAGAACCTACACAGTTAGATGGTCAAGGATAAGGCTGAAGGGATGTTTAGCAGTAAAGTCATTTGTGTGTGTGTGTGTGTGTGTGCATGTGCGCGCACGCATGCATGCTCAAGTAGCACACTTAGAGATGTTTATCCAGATAAACTGAGAGGAATAAAATGATTCTGAAACAAGCTTAGTTTGTCCGATTTATTCAAAGTTTACATTGCAGAGGAGAGAGCTAGTTTTCGTCTAGTTGGTAAGATCAAGTGGCATAGGTATGCTATTTACGTATTTGTGTTTTTTTATTATGGGAATCTTCAAACATTCAAAATTAGGACAAATAAATGAATAAATAAAATGAATTCATTTATCATCACTAGATTCACTAGTCATCAATACATGCCAATCTTGTTTTACTTATTTTCTTTCCCCATCCCCTAGCTATATAAAATTTAAGCAGACAACACATGAGCAAGTCTCTATTTGAATTTAATATATCATAATACTATAGTAAACTGTATAATGTTCTTAATTTTTAACCTGTTTTTACTACAACAAATCAAAACGTGACTTGGGAAGATTTTCATAAATATCTTTGAGACTTTTAGAGAAAGTTCAGAGCTACTTGGTAGATTTTTGAGAAACAGTTTCAGGAATACCTCATGTTTTGTTGTCTATTTATAGATTTTCCTAGAGCGGGGTGTCAGCATTAGATAGTGAATTACTGGACCAACTGCTCTCCAAATAGAAACTCTTTGCTGTTTTGTTAGAACTCAGTAGCAGAACTTTTCTGATATTGTTTGACTTAGCCTAGAAGGTGCCTGGAGTGTAAAATTTAAGAAGACACTCATTCTCAGGTGCCAGCTGTGTACCTCACAAGCCTGAGAACAGAGTGCCTCCTAAAATTTTGTGCCTGGAGTGCCTCACTTGCCTTACTCTTGTCCTGGCCTTGTTGCACATACCCATGTTAAAATCATTTTTTGAGCTCTTCATTCTTGTTTTAGTGAAGAACTGAAAAGCTTGGGCTTAAGAGGTAGCCAGCACACATAGCTACATACCTATTTTTGATTTTGAATTTATACTTCTCATCTCAACTGTATGTCCTACTTATTACCTTAGAGTATTATAACTGTCATTAGAACACTTAAATTTAAGTGCCTTCTATGCCATGCACAATGGTAGATACTTTTACTTTATAATGTTTCACTTAGTTATCACATCTGTCGTGTGAAGCAGAGGTTTTTCCATGTTACAGGTCAAGAAATGTGCACTCAGACTGAAGAACTCTTCCTAAAGTCATGCAGCTAGTAGTGATGTAGCTAGGATCCCCACCTAGTTCTGAGTCCCAAACTCCATTGCTGGTTACTACCTTTGTGGATGAATGTATACCATATAATTTAGGCCAGGTGTGGTGGCTCACGCCTGTCATCCCAGCAGTTTGGGAGGCCACAATGGGTGGATCACCTGAGGTCAGCAGTTCACGACCAGCCTGACCAACATAGCAAAACCCCATCTCTACTAAAAATACAAAATTAGCTGGGCCTGGTGGTGCATGCCTGTAATCCCAGCTACTTGGGAGGCTGAGGCAGGAGAATCGCTTGAACCCAGGAGGCGGAGGTTGCAGTGAGCTGAGATCTCACGCCTTTGCACTCCAGCCTGGGTGACAAGAGCAAAACTCCATCTCAAAAAAAATAAAAAAAGGAATTTAAATGTGTATGTACGCCATGCGCACACACACACACACACACAGAACTGCTTCATTTTCTCAAAATGTTTACATTTTTGAATACATAAAGACTGAATTATCTGAACACTGCTTCATCATAGAAATCTCAAAAAAGAAAAAAACAAAAACGAAAGATACAAAAAAAAAAAAAGAAATCTCAATCCTCTTATTCCAGTGATGGATATGAGTCCTTATTTTACTGCTCTCGAGGAGTGATTTTGTTCCACTTTTTCAGAGGCTGCTCCACATGGTGGCAGCACTGCACCAGCACATATTAGATTCTCTTAGAAAAGAATGAATGCTTCCAAGGGGTTGTGCCTTAGTAGTTTTCTTGTAGCTCACTTCAGAAGAGCATCCTAGATTTGAAAGCACTAGAACATCTGCAGAAATGACTTTGAAATCTTCTAATATGAGAGATAAATGTTGATTGAGAGCTGAAAATTCTTGGTGTTATGTTGACCTCAAATCTGGTTCCTAGTGACACTGTGCCTTGCTGCAGGTAACAAAGCTTTACTATAGTTTTGTTTCCTGTCTTTTGAGGAGAATCACATACATCTTACTTTCCTACAGTTGTTTTACCATTTATAGTTTAGTTGAAGCTAACTTTTGATGAAATACTAGTTAAGAGAGAAAAGATGAATTTAGAAGTAAAAAAATCTCACTCTATTAAGTCCTAGCTTTATGTTCATGTTGTTTAACTTACCCAAGTCTGTTTCCTTTTCTGGAAGATGAAGGTTACTATCTTAGAGAGTTGTTCGGATTATTAATTGAGCTTTTGCGTGAAAAGCGCCTTATAAAGTGCTTGGCTTATGGGAGCTCATAAGTGGTGGCTGCTACTGTAATTATGAAGTAGATATTAGGCAGAGGTTAACATTGTTGCTACAATATTAATTTAAAAGGTTC